TGCTCCTGAAGCAAGGCTGGCCCTGAGCCTCCTCATTATACTGACAGGATGTTCAGGCTCTTTCCAGGTCGTTTTGGTGGACTGGCAGGGCCTAGCTTTCTATCTCATGTTCTGGCTTCTGAAAAACAAGACAGAACGTATTGGTAGGGTTAAAGGAAGACATGAAATTCCTACAATACATTTTAGATTTTCTTTTTAAGGTGGAGACTATGGTGATAAAATATAACAATAACCATTACTTTTCCGACTTAATTTTTTTATTTATGTATCTGTGTGCACCTATGTGCACAAATGTGTGTGGGTGCACTGGAGGCCAGAAGAGAGTGTTAAATCCTCTGGAGTTGGGGTTAGAATCAGTGTGAGCCATACGGTGTTTGTCCTTTAGAAGAGAAGCAAGTGCTTGCTCTTAGCCACTGAGCCATCTCTACAGCCCCTAATTTTTTTTAACTTATTCTCTGACAATTTCATACAGGTATGCAATGTATTTTGACCATACCAAATCCTAATACTCCCCTCCCACTTCTTTCTGATTCCTCTCATACCTCCCCACATTTTATATCACACATCAAAACTACCCAAAACGGATCAAAGTATTAAACGTAAAAGACAAAAGTATAACAGTCTTTGAAGAAAGCGAGGGAAAATGATCTTGGCTTTAGCAGTGATTCTTGAATGTGACACTGAATGTTCTGCAATGAAAGAAAACAGAAGTTGACAAATTTCCTTCCTTAAAAAAAACCTTTTACACGCTTACTCTTTCATTTATTAGAACTTTTAATTAATTAGAAAATTGAGTGATTTTTTTTCCCCAAGAGTCAGTTTCTCTGTGTAATAGCCTTGGCTGTCCGGGAACTCACTTTGTAGACCAGGACCAGGCTGGCCTCAGACTTACAGAGATGCTTCCCACCTCTGCCTCCTGAGTGCTGGTGCGTTTGCCACCATGCCTGGCTTTAAGCAATGTTTTTTTTTTTTTTTTAAAGCAGAGTTCCCATCAAATTAACACCTACTTCAGGACAAAAAATACATTTAAAAAACCCTAAATATTAAAGTAGAAGTAAAACATTAAAAAAAAAAAATCCAACATGTCTAATACAGACTGCAGAATGTCATAATTTAGAGATTCACGTAGTATTCTATAGTACTAAGATGTTAATAAAATCAGTAGTATTGTCGATTAGTCCAAGATCTCCCAGTGTATAAAATGTCTAGGCTGCTAGTTTAAGTTTTTGTTCTGTAAGGACAGCTACTTGTGATGGCTATTTGTGGTTGTCAACGTGACTGTATCTAGAATGAACACAATCCAGAAATGGAGGGTACATCTGTGAGATTTTCTGCTTGATTTGAAGTGAGTGAATCCACTTTTCTGGTCTAGACCTTTGAAGTAGGAAGATTTTTTTAAAGAGTTATTTATTCAAACAGTATTTTGCCTGCATGTGTTCCTAAAGGGCAGAAGAGGGCACCAGATCTCATTATAGATGATTATGAGCCACCATGGGGTTGCTAGGAATTGAACCCAAGACCTTTGGAAGAACAGCCAGTGCTCTTAACCTCTGAGCCTTCTCTCTAGCCCTGATATGGATCTTGAAGTTGAAAGATACTCCTTTAATTCAAATTTGGAAGCATGGAGACTCATCTTTAAAATGGGCCATACCTCCTGCTGGAAGTCTAAATAAGGACACAGAACAAGGAAGCTTTTGCTCTTTGCCTGCTTGTCCTCCTCGCCTTGCTAGCATATTCATTCCTTCATTGGCACTGGAGCCTACTCCTTACTTCTTCAGGAAACCAGCGTATACAGAAGACCAGCTGAGGCATCCAGCCTCATGGACTGAGCAACTACTAGATACATGGACTTTCTGTTCACAGCTAGCCATTGATGGATTAGCTGTACTGTAAGCCTGTAAGTCATTCCAGTGTGTGTGTGTGTGTGTGTGTGTGTGTAGATAGATAGTGAGAGAGAGATTCATTCCATAAGTTCTGTGACTCTAGAGAACCCTGACTAATATACTGCTATACAACCAAGTGGCTGTTTTTATGGCAACAGAATCAGTAGGCAACTTTAAGGTTTCATCTGTACAGTTCTACAATGTAGCACTCATGTTTAAAACTCTACTTTGGGATATTTAACCTCCTTTCCACCAACCCCCCAACCCCATGTAGGAGAAAGAAGGTTAGTGGGGAGATTTCTCCTGGCTGTTTAGGGTCGGTGGGTCTTGGGGGATATACCAATCTCCATCAATAGTCTCCTGTAATCCTCTGTGCCCCAAACTGTTTCTCTCCATCTTGTCTGCTCCAAACCTCCACACAGTCCATCTGTCAGGTGTCTCCAAACTGCTACCTGCTACCCACCAATACCATATGCCCACCAGTCTTCCTAGGATCTCAAATTTATATCCTTGGGGCCTTAGACCACGCCCTCTCTGTGCTTCACGTGGAAGATCATTACCTGCTGGCAAAAGCCACGCTCTGCACAAGGCAGGTGTGGACAAACTATAGTCCAACTAAAATCCCACATTTGGGATTAAAACAAAAGCATATTCACATAACATAACTGAGTTTTTAAAGAGACCAAAACTTCCAGTACGTTACAATATTAACATGAAGCATTATAAGGCATCTGCAGACTCAGCTCCCAAACTATTTGCATCACTCCAGTTCTTTAAATAAAAAGTTTTCTAGTTCTGGCACACACCTTTAATCCCAGCACTCAGGAGACAGAAGCTAGGGAATCTCTACGAATTCCAGGCCAGCCAGGTCTACATAATGAGTTCCAGGACAGCCAGGACTACGGAGAGAAGCACTGTGTAAGTTTCTATTATTTAAAAAAAAATCTCTCTTTTTCTTTGTTTCTTTCTTAAAGACAGTTTTTCTCTGTGTAGCCCTGGTTCTTCTGGAACTTGCTCTATAGACCAAGTTAGCCTCAAACTCAGAGATCTGCCACACCTCTGTCTGGGATTAAAGTCATGTGCAACCATGTATAATAAACTTTTTCTTTGTACACACACACTCACACGTCCTGGGTTGACATACTTTAGTTAACAGGAACAGTTAGCCAGTAATGAAACTACAGAACAACCCCCCTCAAAAAAAAAAAAAAAAAAAAAAAAAAAAAAAAAAAAAAAAAAAAAAAACAACAACAACAACTAGGTTAGTTCATTTAAAGACATTCCCAGAACTATGGACATTTACAGGTTAGACCTTTGCTTTAGTTTTGGCAGGTGGCGCTACCTATGTGCTGAGTTTTAGGGCCTGACTGATGGAGTCAGTTGTGCTAAGGTCTGGAGTCTTGTTAGAGGGAGACTTGAAAAGTTTCCATTAGGGGACAACAGTTAGCCATTGCTAGAGGCATCAGTGAATAGTCAGTTGAAGAATGTAAGATAGTCAATTAGCATCTCTTGTGATGGCTTTTACTGGGGAAGGGCAGTCAAGGATCTGAGAAACAAGTTATTTCACTTCTATAAACCAGATCACTGTCACTACTGGATTGTCACAATTCAACAAAAACTGTCATGGTTCTGGTTAAGGAGCAGAAATTCAGAGCCTTCACAAGCTGAAGGGCACAACACTAAACCATAGCTCTTCCTCATAAAGCAGAGCAAATATCTGCTTGCTTTGTTGTTGTTTTGTTTTTTGTTTGTTTGTGGGTTTGGTTTTGGTTTTTCTGAGATAATGTTTCTCTGTGTAGCCTTGGCTGTCCTGGACTCCCTATGTAGACCAGGCCAGCCTCAAACTCATAGACATCGCCTGCCTCTGCCTCCCTGAATGCTGGGATTATCTGCTTTTTTTTTTTTTTTTTTTCAAACTTTATTTTATGGGCATTAGTGTGAGGTGTCAGATCCCTTGGAATGGGTATTACAGACAGTTGTGAGCTGCCATGTGGGTGTTGGGAATTGTACCAGGATCCTTTGAATGAGCAGACAGTGCTTTCAACCACTGAGCCATCTCTCCAGCCCCTATCTGCTTGTTTTTGAGACACAGTTTGACACCTAGACCAGGCTGGCCATTATAACACCCACAATTCTCCTAGGTTTGTCTGGAGAGTGCTGGGATTACAGGCTTTAACCAGCCAGGAAAGCAGCTAACATGATCCCCTCACCTTTTGTGGATTTTGTTTGTTTGAGACAGGGTTTCTCTGTGTAACATCCCTGGCTGTCATGGACTCACTTTGTAGACCAGGCTGGCCTTGAACTCACAGAGATCCCTCTTAAAGGGTGTGGGTGTGCCATAATTTCCTTTATCAAGCCGCAGCACCGAGCAATTTTGATTTCTTCTTTCGGTGCTTTCCTCTAGATAAGGAGTGCAGTCTGTATAGTAAGATAGTAAAACAGGCTTACTTGTTGGAGGATTTCACCTTGGCGCCAGACTTACCACCCTGCCTCAACCGCTGCCAATCGCTGTAATCCACCACTCCAGCCTCGGCTGCGAACTGCGTTGCCGTCATGGAGCTGTGGAGTTTCACTCGAGTTTCCCTGAGCACACAGGGAGGCGCAATCAAACACTCCATGTCCAAAAGCAGCAGCTGGCCAAATGCAGCCAGTCTCTGCACAGGACGGGGCAGATGTGAATCTGAGAGCAATTCCATGCACTAATTCATTCAACAAGAACTTACTGAGCAACTACCAGGCCCTACATCATCCACAGCAGTGCATGAAAATCAATAATGCAAGAAATTAAAAATACAGGATGCTGGACGGTCCCTCAGACAGGAAGGAAAAACAGGAGAGGGACTGACAAGAAGACCAGTTGGTGAGGCTTCCCGAAAAAGACAACAAACTAGGACAGGGACCATTCATGGGGCCGGTATGCCACTCTCACTTCGGTATGCTCTTTAAATTGTGCCAGGGGCAACTGCAAACACCGGGAACACGCGGTGGCGCAGAGGTGGAGCACCTTCAGCGGCAGGTCCGGGACCCCGCCCTCAATGCCACGCCATGCCCACTCGATCTCAGCCCTCCCCTTCCGCCCTGCTCCACGCAGCTAGGTTTCGGCAGGGTCCCGGCGCTGAGGAGTAAGGTGGACGCGGTTGTGCGCAGGCTCAGACCACAGAGTGCGCAGGCGCAGTTTACAGCGCAGTGCTCAAGGCGACGTGGCGGGCGGGAGTACGGAAGCCGCTGGGAGAAGCTGCTCTCACCGCTACTCTGAGCATCTCCCTGCTGCGTGGAGCTTTTCCTGGCACCATGTTGAAGAAGTTCGACAAAAAGGACGAGGAGTCGGGTGAGGGACCCTTGAAAGGCCTGGGAAGGTCAGGCCCCCGCGCAGATTCCTGGGACTTTCCTGGGCTTCCTTCTTCCGGGCTTCTGTCAGAACCAGAGCTGGGGGCCCAAGAGGGGCAGGGGCTTATGCGCAGGTCCATAGCTGTCCTCGGAGAGGACTGTTCTGCGTTCGCCAGCCCTGGCCAGGATTGCTGCGTGACCTTGTGTGGGTCACGCTCCTCTCTGGGCCTCACCTTCCCCATCTTGTCAGAGGAGGGTCCCAGGCTGGATGCTCCCTTGTGTTTCCATCCGACCTTTTAGTATTTGCCAGAGCTGCGTTGCCAATGTGTGTGTAACCAGTCCTGCAGCTAAAAACCCTGACCGTTTCATTCATTCAATAAATTGTATTTACCGAACATCAGTCACCTTACAGATCCTGACATTGCAGTATCTAAAGCAAGTAGGACACTCGATGCCTGCAGTGGGAATGTTAGAATGGTCACAAAGTGGAGGAACCAGACAGTAACCAGATAATCACACACATGATTACTTAGAAATGTAACCTCTCTGTCAGGGAAACTCAGTCACAGGTTAGTCAGTGTTGGTCGTCCCTGGCACAGACTCACTTAATGAATGTGCGTGAATGAATGCAAACTGTGGCATCCTGAAAGGCACAGAAAGGGTGCTGTGAGCAAATGGTCTGGGGAAGAGAGGAGTTCCCTTGGCAGGGTGTATACACAGATTGCAGAACCTTGACTGCCGCTGATAGATGATGGAGACTTCCTTTCCCAGCGTTTGGCAGAATCTTGAATTTTAGGGTCACAGTTTGGAGATGTAACTCAGTTGGGAGAGTGCTTGCCTATCATGCTTGAAGCCCTGTGTTTGAGCCACAGCACCATATAAACCAGGAGGTGGAGGCAGGAAGATCGATCATAGCTCAAGATCGTCCTCTGCTACATTCTGAGTTTAAGATCAGCCTTGGATACATGAGACTGTCTCGAAAGAAAGAAAGAAGGAAAGAAAGAAAGAAAGAAAGAAAGAAAGAAAGAAAGAGAAAGAAAGAAAGAAATTAGTTCAGGATCAGAGCTTGTAATCAGTCTTCTCTGTTCATCATAGGTGGAGGCTCCAACCCCCTCCAGCACCTGGAGAAGAGTGCAGTACTCCAAGAGGCAAGTTCCATCACACCTGTCTGTTTGGTCAGGAATACCTGCCAGCTATGCTGTCAGAATATTAATGTACATAGAGTGCTGGTTTTAAAAGCTTGGGCCCAGAAGAAGAGACTTTGCTTATTATATTTGCTAAGTATAGCTAGTCAGTGGGGCAGCACAAGCAAAGCTTTCAGGTGTGGCTGGTAGGTGAGTTAAAAATAATAAACTCTTCCCCTTTGAGAATATATTTATTTGGACTGAGTTATTAATGCACACCCCATGGTTCTCCATGCCCTTCATGAACTGAGGGTGGCTGTGGAAGGGAACTCTATTGGGCTAGAGGTAATGGTTGGTTTTCTACAGGCTCGGGTCTTTAATGAAACTCCTATCAACCCTCGGAAATGTGCCCACATCCTCACCAAGATCCTTTACCTCATAAACCAGGTAACAAGATGAGGCTTGGCGGGAAGTACAGGGGGCTGTGTAAATGGGGATGGACGATTAAGCCTTTGACAGCTGTGTGCTTGGAACCAGCAGTCCAGCTCTGTATACTCTTGAGTTTACAGTTCTCGTTTGTTGCCTGTGCTCAAGTCCCTGCATTCTTCCAAGGTCTAGCCTGTTGGTCTCCTGTCTAAAGCTGAGGCTTTTATGATTACCACAGGGGGAGCACCTGGGGACCACAGAAGCAACTGAAGCGTTCTTCGCCATGACCAAGCTCTTTCAGTCCAACGATGTAAGTTCACCAGTCCCTGCATTTTTGGAGATGTGACACCTGTGACAGGGTGGTGGGGGGACCAGCAGTCAGCATGGCCTGCCTGACTCTGAGCCTCTCCCACTGAGCAGGACTGATAAGGCCTTCTCCATGTCTTTTTCAGCCCACACTCCGTCGCATGTGCTACTTGACCATCAAGGAGATGTCCTGCATTGCAGAGGATGTCATCATTGTTACCAGCAGGCAAGCCTTGGGCAGGGGTGGCTCCTCTGGTGGCATCCATTGGCAGAGGCCACATGTACAGGAAAGGGTATATGGCCAGTGCCCTTTCCTCCTAGGCCCACTCTGTACCAGCCTGTAGAGTGCTCTGCTGCCTTCTCACTGTTCTGGCCTTGCTTCTCTTCCTCCTCCTTAGATAACACAACCAGCATGGGACTTTTAGAAGTCTTTAGTGAGTGCTAAGGGAAAGAAAACCAGAGTGCAAGAAGTTTATGACCAAGTCTGCTGGCCAAGTACTGGTTTATTCATTAGGCTAAGTAATTTAGGGACAGATGTCACCAATACATACTCTGTGACCTTGAGAATTGGCAATCAAACATGGTGGTACACACGTGTACACCCAGCACATGGTAGAAACAGGAGGACTTCTGCTAGTTTGAACCTGACTGGGTTATATAACAAGATATCTCCAAAAATAAACAAACAAACAAACAAAAGCACAACAACAGCCCCCCCTGAGTCTTATTTCTTCTTGACACTGCTATGCAAAGAGAGGCCTATGCAGCCATTTTCAGGTGCATTGTGATGACATTTACTGGGGCTGGCGACATGGCTCATTGGTTAAGAGCGCTTGCTAGGAACCATACCCAGAGGACCTGAGTATGGTTCCTAGCACCCTCATCAATAGGCACATCTCCAGGTGCCGAGGAAGCTGATGCGTTGGTGGACACATGCAGACACAGACATCTGTATGTTACTAAAATTAATAAAAATAAATCTTAAACTTTATTTTAGAAAGATGATGCTGAACGTTTATCAGTCCATGTCTGGTTCTGGGAGTATGATAGTGAATAAGGAAGCAATGGTGTGTGAGGCAACTTTTCCTGGGGAGACAAAACATACAATGTCTGCTCATCCCAGATAGGGAACTCACGACAGACCAAAGTACATATACCACCGAAGTCCACTTTGAGCCATGGCTTTTATTCGGGTTACTTATAGGAATATGGCTAAGGACTTACAGTAGCAGAAGTGACTCAAAGACAGCTACATCACCAAAGCTTACCCCAGCATGGGTGAGAGCTCACAAAGCTGGAAACTTGGAGCTCATTGCACAGCACACTGCCGGCAGCTCAGTAGGGTGAAGAGTGTCCTTTCCAGTTGTCTCAGTTGGTTTAAACCTTTTCCAGGCAGCTTGGTAGGTTTCTGCTTCTTCCAGGCAGCCGGTCTGCTCTGAGGCTCTTTTGTACAGCTAGGTTCTTGTTTTGAGAGTGACTCTCAGCTTTTATTGCTTACTCTGGCAGGGAAGGAGCGTAATGAATCTGGTCAGTTTCAGGTACTTCCTGAAGCTATTTTGAGTTGTTTGCCTTCAGCTTAAGGAGCTTCCCTGCAAGAAGGAATGCTTCAATCCTGGAAGAAACTGTTACACAACACACTCCTCTGCACCCTCAGGATTTATAAGCAAATGACAAGGCAGCTGGGCTGTAACATGGTTTATGGATGTGTAAGGGAGTGAAAGCAGAATGGAAGGACACTAAAAGGAATCAGTATTGGCTCAAGACCAAGTTCTCGGCACAAGGGAATTCATTCGTCCCAGAGGGACAGAGGGCAGAAAGTAAGAGACAAAGACAAGAGATAGAGGATGAGGGAACAAGAGGAAGGGAACAAGAGAGAAGGGAAGGAGTATTTGTCAGGGAGTGTGGACCAAAGACTGCCTCTGGACAGAGAAGAGACAGACATGACCTATAGGAAATAGCAGTTTATAAAGATAAAGGGGAAAAACCCATGTTAGGGTGAGGTGTTTACTTTTAGTCGAACGATTTAATTAGGTGAGCCAAAGGGGGCTTTTGATTGCTAGACTACAATATTTTGATAGCTGGACCTTAATAGTCAGGCTCAGGAGGAAGAAGTGGTCAAGTAAGGGAATAGACCTTGGTGGCTGGCTTTAGGTATATAATCTAACATTTTTTTATCAAGGAAGAAGGAATGGGGGAGAAGGGCAAAGCCTTCTAGAGCCGTGCTGGCCAGAGTACCTGCAGATAATAGCTTGACTTTGGACCAGAAGAGGCCTCCAGAATGGTCTGGATTCTGAGGGAGTGGAGTCCAGGCTGAGCATTCACATGTGAAAAGGCCTGCAGAGGAGAGTACGGCTGCCCTTTCTGGTGCTCTAGGAAGCCTTGAGTTCATGGTGATCCTACTGCCTTTACTTCCTGAGTGCTGGGATTACAAGTGTGTGCCACTATGCCCCACTCTGTTTTGAGTTCTGTAAAACTCCCTGCTGTTTGGGTTAGAGTTTGGCTTGGAGGGGTGAGGTTAGAGGGGAACAGTAGTTAGGAGATGGTGTGGCGGGTGGACTAGTGGAGAGATAGCCTGGGACCCTGCTTGTCAACAGTGCCTCCTTTCCCCGGCAGCCTGACCAAAGATATGACTGGGAAAGAAGATAATTACCGTGGTCCCGCTGTGCGAGCCCTCTGCCAGATCACTGACGTGAGTTCTTCCACCCTCTGCCTGCTTCCCAGGCTCTCAAGTGAGACCTCGCCCCACTGCAGCTCTCTGAATCAGGTGGAGGAGTGGGGTGGGATTGTCGCCCAGGTGCTTCTGAAATGCTTGATTTGCTCGACTCCCCATCGCTTCTATGCCTGAGCTCGCCTTCTCCCACAGAGCACCATGCTGCAGGCTGTCGAGCGCTACATGAAGCAGGCGATTGTGGACAAGGTCCCCAGTGTCTCCAGCTCTGCCCTTGTGTCTTCCCTGGTACGTAGCAGTGACTGGGGTGTGCAGAGGTGGGTTATGTAGAATAAAATGTCTGAGAGTCTTGTCAGAAGAGAACAAGACACTCTGGGTTCATTGGGGAGACCTAGGGTGAGTGGTTTTGACCCACCCCTTAGTGGCAGATTGTTTGGACTGGCATCGGGAAGGAAATCTGCCAGGCGGGAGGATGAGGATGGCAGCTATGCTGTCTGTCTGTGGTCTTGGGATCAGGACAGTCAGGAGGCCCTGACTACATCTGAAACAGGACAGGGGTGTGACAAGAAGGGAGCCCTTGCTTTTGATCACTTAACAAGACCCACTGTCCGCAGCATCTGCTGAAATGCAGCTTTGATGTGGTCAAGCGCTGGGTGAATGAGGCCCAGGAGGCAGCATCCAGTGACAACATCATGGTACAGGTAAGAATGATGCTGAAAACAAGCAAGTGCACGAGACCCTGTCATTGTCCATGTTCCACAAGTTCTGGTGGCCTCTGGCCAGGGCAGCACATGGTGTTTGGGGAAGAGTTTCTTACTGGGTGCTGCTGAAGTAGCCAAGCATGTGGAAAGGCAGGTGAGACTGTTTTGGAATACAGGCTATTATAGCCCACCTGGCTCAGGTGATGGTCATTGCAGTCCAAACTGTTGCTGAGCTGCCTCTGTAAGTGACATGAGGTTTCCATCTGAGAGACTTTCCTCTCTAACCTAAACCTGGTAGGCCTCCCTCTGAGTCTCAGTTTCTTTGGAAAGTTGGAAGAGCAAGGGTTAAATGAGAAAACACACATAATGAGGGACAGGAAAGACAGGCTTGTCCCTTTCCTTCAGTGGTGGTCATTCTCCTCATTCTTCATGTGGATCTTGCCTTTGTGGTCAGCAATGATGCTTTAGTATATCTCTAAGGATCAGAGACACCCACATGGAAAGCACATGCACCTGCCATACGTTGGCCCTCATATGCCTCTTGACTAAGTAGGAACAGGAAAGACAGGAAGTGACCTTGGTAACTTACATCTCTAAAAGTGGTGTCTCTGGCCTTCTAGACCTCCAAAGCCAGCTTGGCCACAAGTGGGACAGAGAAGCAGGGACAAGCAGACCAGTCCTCTGGGTGTTGGAAGGGTTTGTGTGTTGTGCCCCACAGGACCATGCTCAGGTCTTGCCCCCAGCTCTCTGCTGCAGCTCTTTCTGTTCTGGTGTCTTCTCCCTCAGTCAGGATGCCTGCAGGGTCCTTGCCAAAACTCTGGTGCAAGTGAGAACGTCATGTATGTGGTGTGCTGAGCAGTACACCAGAGCTGGTTATGCAGAGTGCTTGGGGGAGTTGTTGCAGCCCCCTCGGTGTGCATGTGATTGCTACGCTCTTAAAATAAGAAGGGTGAAGCCAGAGAGACAACGGTGGCCTTGCCAGTGCTGCGAGGCAGCAGACCTGGCCTGATGTGTCTGTTTCCCATGCTGCCTCTGTCCTCTAGTACCATGCACTAGGACTTCTGTACCATGTGCGGAAGAATGACCGCCTGGCCGTGAGTAAGATGATTAGTAAGTTCACCCGGCATGGCCTGAAATCCCCCTTTGCCTACTGCATGATGATTCGAGTGGCCAGCAAGCAGCTAGAAGAAGAAGATGGCAGGTGAGAACACTGGTCCCCTGCCAGCTAGGAGATGCCTCGTGCATTGCTGGATTGTCTCCAACTTCTTATTGCTATGTTCTTTTGTAGCCGTGATAGCCCACTGTTTGACTTCATTGAGAGCTGCCTGCGTAACAAGCACGAGATGGTGGTATATGAAGCTGCCTCAGCCATTGTCAACCTGCCAGGCTGCAGTGCCAAAGAGCTGGCCCCCGCCGTGTCAGGTCTCCATACGTCCTCTTTCCTGCTGCATGGTTTGCTTACAGGGCACAGGCCCTGAGCCAAAGGTCTTTAGATAGGCTGTGATGTAGGTCTCTCACAGGCATTACTTTTAAGGTGGGCTGTTTTCAGTTCCATCTTAGTGCTGGAGAGGCAGGTGTGGGGTCCACACCAGCACTGCTAGGCCAGCTGGCTCCAGAGGAAGACCAGGGTGGGGCCTAGGACATGTAATATTTAGTGTGTTCATGGGGTAGCACTGGGGCCCACAGCTGGATTCACTGGCACTGCTCTTGGTAGGCAAACCGCTGTCCTCTGACCTTCTTCTCCAGACCTCACTGCCCTCTGAGACACAGCTGACCTCTGGCTGTAGGTGGTAAAGGCGGGATCTGTTCAAGCTACTCCTCCTAGTATAAGACATAAATATGGACGCCGTCTGTGTGTTACTGAGGAGAACCCAGCAGCTTTGAGTTGTTTTCGTGCTAGCCCTCTAGCCAAAGCAGTGCCTTGTCCACCTGCTCTATGCCGGTGTTGGGATGGGAGTAGAGAATATGCACCCAGGGCATGGAAAGCTGGAACAGAACAGTGCCTGTGTTGAGAGTTCAAAAGGGTCTACACTGGATTCCAAGAGTAGCTGAGAGGAATGAGCACCTAACCTAGGACCAGCCCAGAGGCAAAGAAGTGACAGGAGAGTTGCCGTGATTGGGCTGTTTTTCTAAAGGTCCCCACAATGGTGATATCAAGTTGGCAGAAAGATGGGGTTCAACTGGATGTGTAGTTTCCCTTCCTCCATGGGGACAAACAAACATGCATTCAATTGCCGTGTGGGGACGAATGTCCTCCTGTGATGTCCCCCTATTTCCAGAATAATGAAAGACATGAAGTAGAGGCTTGAAAAGGTAGTTTTCCTATTTTAAGAAAATAGGACAGTTAGTTCCAAAAAATGACAAGCAAATAAAAGCTAAGCAATAAAGAAAGGGACTTGGATATCCAGAATATAGTCACATTCAAGACTATGCTTGAACACAGACTTTAGCTGTGAGCTTTGGAAAGCCAGGTTGAGGGAATAGTGTGGTCCCTAATATACACAGCAGGGGTCAACTCTTTGGCACTGTCCTAGAGAGAAATAAACTTGGTCCTTGAGGGAGGACTTAGCTCCCTAGCTTGGTGATGTGGGATGCTCACTGGGTCCTGTGAGCATGGAAGGAGAGAGTTGGCTGTGTGCTTAGGCTGTACATGTGGCTATTCACTGAAAGCCGCTGGAGTTGATTTGCTCTCTTCCCTGGGAGTTGGGAGAATCGTCAGGCATGTCACCCACTCAGCAAGGGCCTAGCACGTGGCAGGTAGTTAGTATATAATAACCAATGACATCCACAGGGCCCTCACTGACAAGGTTGAGGACAAGACAGTTCTGCTGGCCTCAGCTAAGCAAAGAGCTGTGTGACTGGCCTGAGAGCTTGTTCATCTGCTCTCCTGGGACCCCAGGATCCCACTGCCTGGCACCAAGGGCAGCCTGACACATGTCTGTCTCCTGCAGTGCTCCAGCTTTTCTGCAGTTCGCCCAAGGCCGCTCTTCGCTATGCTGCTGTGCGCACCCTCAATAAGGTAAGAGCTGGGAGTGGGGCTGGCTGGTAGGTTTCCTCCCTCTGAATCCTGGGAGAAGAGGTAGACATAGTCCCCAAAGGACCTCTGGCCAGGCCTACCCTGGAGGTAAAATGACAGAATTGGGTACTGCCAATTCTGTGTCTGTCCTCTCTCTCTGTAGGTGGCCATGAAGCACCCATCAGCAGTGACCGCCTGCAATCTGGATCTGGAAAACCTGGTCACAGACTCGAACCGTAGCATCGCCACATTGGCCATCACCACCCTCCTCAAGACAGGGAGTGAGAGCAGCATTGACCGCCTTATGAAGCAGATTTCTTCCTTCATGTCAGAGATCTCAGATGAGTTCAAGGTACCAAGTGCCTTCACAGCAGTCCCCAGGTCAAGGGAGATGTTCTGAACCTGCTGCCATGCCACAGGCTTGGAGTGCTCAGTCCTGACTCCAGGTCTTTGACCCTCTGTGCCCTTGATTTTTAAGAACAGTACTTTGTAGGCCAGGAAGGGGTTTTGAAGTTTTTATTGTGCTCTTGCTGTCCTAGAGTTTCAGGAGAGTGGGCAGCAGCGGGTGGAAAAGAGACGCTTTAACAAATGAGCAAACATGTAAAGGAGCAGCAGCTTGAGCTTCATCGAGGAGCTGGCACTGCATTAGCAGCTGCTGGGGAGCAAGGCAGTGTAAGCTAGGGAAAAAGGGCCGGAGTGGAGATTTGGAAAGTACCAAGGAGCCTGTCTCTGCCTCCCAAGGAGTGGGATTACAGGCATGACCACCACTGCTGAGCTCATGATAAAGTTTTTATTGTAAAAAAGACATTTAGAAAGCGGTAGTTTGGGAATTTTTTTTTTTCCTGTTTTCAGATCAAGACAGGGTTTTTTTGTACCTAGCCCATGCTGACAATGAACTCAAGATTCTCCTTTAACTCCTTCATTGATATATTAATACCACCGTGTCTGGCTTGTAGTAGCTAGCTAGCCTTTCCTCTTTCTCTCTCCCTCCCTTCCTTCCTTCCTTTCTTCCTTCCTTCCTTCCTTCCTTCTTCCTTTCTTTCCTTCCTTCCTTCTTCCTTTCTCTTTTTTCTTTCTTTCTTTCTTTCTTTCATTCTTCTTTCCTTCCTCCCTTCTCCTTCCCTCCTTCTTCCTTTCTTTTTCTCTTTCTCTTTTTCTTTCTCTCTTCCTTTCTCTTTTCCTTTCTTTCTCTCTTCTTCCTTTCTTCCCTTTCTTCCTTTCTTTCTTCCTTCCTTCCTTTCTTTCTCTTTCCCTCTCTTTCTTCCTTTCCTCCTTTTCTTTCTTCCTTTCTTCCTTTTTTCCTTTTTTCCCCTCTTTCTCCCTTTCTCTTTTTCTTTCCAGGGTTTCTTTTTGTAGCTCTTGCTGTCCTGGAACTCACTCTGTAGACCTGGCCTTGAATTCAGGCTGGCCTTGAATTCACAGAGATCCACCTGCCTCTGCCTCTTTAATGCTGGGATTAAGGGCATATGCCACCACCACCTGGCATATTTTTTAAACTTTACTTTAAAATAATTCACAGGAAGTTGCAGATAAATAAAAAGAAAGGTCCTGGGCATTTCTGTCGACTCCAACGCCTATATCCCACATAGTCACAATATAGTATTAATGAAGAAACCAGCAATTGTACCATCTAGAGAGCTTACTCAGATTTCACTGGTTACGATTGCTGCCACATTCAGATTTAGCATCACTAGACAGCACCCATGTACTTCATTCCCACCTCCTCATGCCTGATTCTTGACAGTCACTAATCTTTTCTTATTTTGCATGGCTAGATTATGTCAGTGTTATATAAATGGAATCATGAAATTAGTCACTGGTGAGTTTCCCTCAGAGCAGATAATAGTAGGAACAATTTTTGATATAGCAGGAGAAATTCTAGAGTGTGGGTTGTATAAAGTGGGCAAAAATCTATTCATATAGCTTGTGGGCAATATGGAGGCTTATTGAATGATGATGTGATGAGATTTGCACATGAGAATAACCCTTCTGGACAGTAGAGGATGAGTTTAGGAGACTTGTATCTCAGAAAATGAACTGGCTTAGGAGCAGGCAAGAGGGGTGCTATCAGAGCCATGGAAGGACTTGAGCCAGTTGAAGAAGGAAAAGGAGGATAAAGCAGAGGGAATAAGGATGCCAAAGAGACCTTGAGAAGAGAACAGCATGGAATGCTGGGTGAAAATGTGGAGGGCCAGAGAGAAGCAGACCAGGCAGGGTTTAAGGACTCAGATCCTCACTTAGGCTACTGAGACTGTCACGTTCCACTTGCCTCGGGTGGCTCAGGGCTACGTGCCCAAGCATGGAGAGGTGTTCCTTCTGGCTTCCTGCTCTAGTGTTAGGCCTAAGGCATGATCTTGCCTAAGAAGGGACTTGTGGCATTTAGTGAGCAACTCACCAGGACTGTCGGGTTGCTGCTCACACATGTCTCTACCCCAGGTGGTGGTTGTCCAGGCCATCAGTGCCCTGTGCCAGAAGTACCCTCGCAAACATGCCGTGCTCATGAACTTCCTGTTTACCATGCTAAGGGAAGAGGTAAGACTGGGGCCACTGGGGCCTGTGAGCTCTTGGAACAGAGGATGGCCTGGCTGCCAAGACCTTTTTCTTGGTATTAAGCTCAGAACACTGCTAAACAGCTAGTTTCCTGGTGCCCGAGGCACTTTAAATACTGTGCACAGATGGTGCAGCAGCACCAGCCGCTTGTAATTACAGTAATAATGCATGACTCACCAGTATGGCAACAGGCCCAGCAGGTTCCCCAAGGCTGCACTTGTGCAGAAAGGAGAGTGCATGGGTTCTATTACAAAGTCTTGCATAGAAGGCTGCAGTGTCCTTCTTAGAGAACTGGGGCTAAAAACATGACATTGGTTCTGGGTTTTGTTGTTTTCTTTTGTGACAGGGTCTCTACATAGCTCTGGCTGTCCTGGAACTCACTATGTAGCCAGGCTAACCTTGGATTGACAGAGATCCACCTGTCTTTCCCTCCAGAGGGCTTATCATAAGAAATAAACTTCTGTTGGGCGTAGTGACACACGTCTTTAATCCCAGCACTCTGGAGGATTACCGTGAAAACCTAACGACTTGATTTTAATCCCTGAATTCCATGGTGGAAGGAGAGAATCAACTCTTGAAAGTTGAACGCTCCCCTCCATATTTGTGATGTGTCATGTATAGGCTTGAACTCACACACATATATTACACATACACAGAGAATGATAATGTGTATATGTGCACACGTGTGTGTGTGTGTGTCTGTCTGTCTGTGTGTATGTTTATTTTTAAAAGGAAGTCCTGGAGAGAAGGCTTAGGAGTGCATGCTGTTCTGTTTAGCAGCTCATAACTGTCTCTAACTCCAGCTCCAGGAAATCCAACACCATCTTGGCCTCTGTGGGTACTTAGTGTACTTATGTGCATGTACCCATACACAGGCACACACACACAAAAAGAGAGAGAAAAAAGGATTCTGGGAGACTGCTTGCCTAGCATGCACAAAGCCTGATTTTGATTCCAGTACTGTATAAACTGGGTAGGTGATATATACTAGCACTTAAGAGGTAGAAACAAGAAGGTCAGGAGCTCAAGGTCATCCTTGGCTACATAGTGATTTTGAGGTTAGCCTGGGATACGCTAGACCTGTCTTAAAAACACAGAAGCTGAGGCTTAGTGTGATTTGAGTGGAATGACCTGCCTCCATGTTATTGTGAAGAACAAGGAGAGCACTTTGTGGTATCTGAGCCCAGGCACCTCTGGACCTTAAACACCCCAAGCTTTGTCTCAGCTTTCTGGCTGCCTCCCAGAAAGCTACTTGCTTGCTGTAGCACAAGGTTATGAATGGCCTTCACTTGAGGGGCTTCAGCACTGAGACTTGAGAACATACCTTTCGCTTGCTGCCATTTGTCACCTAGTCAGAGCAGGCGGCTGGCTGCAGCAGTGGGGCTGAAACATCATTTGGGGTGTGTAGTGTACGGTCCTCACTGGCTGTGACTCACAGCGAGCAGACGCACTTTCTTTTCTTTTCCCCTTGAGATTAGTTCACTGTGTCATTCTGACTGGCCTTAAATTCAGGATTGTCCTGCCTCAGCATCTTGAATGCTGGAATTCCAGGCATGCACCATGCCTGGCATTTTCTTTGTTCTTCAGAACACGAATGGCTGAATCTCTTAAAGGTAAAGTGAGGGGCCAGTGAGATGGGTAAAGGCACTTGCCACCAAGCCTGATGACCAGAGACGGGTTTGATCCCTGAAACTCAGAAAGCAGAGAGAGCCATGACCAGAGGGGAGAACTGACTTCTACAAGTTGTGTTCTGACTTCCACATGCTCCAGTGCATGCTCAGGAGCACACATAGGCTGATGGCTCATCTTCTCACCAGCAGCCCAACCAGCCCATTCCTGTGCTGGCACAGTCCATCGAGCAGAAAGTCGGGATGGGTAGAGGGCCTTGTTCCACTGACCTACACCCTACCTGATATGGGAATCTTCCTTTCTTCTTTTAAGTTTTAAGATTTTTCTGACATTAAGATTTAATAGCCAAGTATGGTGGCACATGCCTTTGATCCCGGCACTCAGGGAGGCAGAGGCAGGTGGGTCGCTGTATGTTGGGGTGTGTGCATGTGAGTTGGAATTAGTCTTGTGCAACTGTGTCTAGCTCATCTCATAATTTCTGGTTTTTAAATTTGTTTACAATTTTATTTTATCTTTAGGTGTGGTGTGTGTGTATCTAGGTGTCTAGATGCAGTATCTGTGCAGGGTAGAGTGGATGTTGGATCCGCTGGAGCTGGAGTTACTGGCAGCTCTGTGCTGCCTGATGGGGTGCTGGGAACTGAAGAGCAGGTACTCTAAACCACTAAGCCATCTCTCCAGTCCCCTTAATTTTTTTTCAGTTAGATTTATTCATTTTATTTTATGTTTGAGTGTTTTGCCTGCATGTATGTATGTATACCATGTGCATGCTTGGCACTCTCAGAGGTCAGAAGAGGACGTGGAATTCCCTGGAACTGGAGTTAGGAATGGTTGTGAGTAAGCCTGTGGGTGCTGGGAATCAAACCTGAGTCCTCTCTGTGTACAAGTGCTCCAAACAATGAGCCTCTCCATCCCCAACATTTTAGTTTTTAGCCAAGGCGCTGTACCTGTTAAACACTAGCTCCTCATCTGCCTCTTGTGGTCTCTTTTATCCACAGTTCTTTCTCTATCTATGAATCTGACTGCTCTAGTTACCCTATTTGAGAGGAATTAAGAAGTGTTCTTTTTCTGTCTCCCTTATTTCACTTATAAATGTCTTTGGGTTTCATCTGTACTATAACATATATCAGGATTTCTTTTTCAATGTTGGATAACATTCCTTTAAACTACAGACTACATTTTGTGAACACTCAGGTTGCTTATGTCCTGTCACTGTTGTGATCTATCCTGTTGCTGATACCCAGGAATGGAATGACTGGATCAGGTGGTAATTCTGTGCTTGATACTTTGGTGTGTCACCCATTCCAGCTTCTTTATGTCTGGGTATCCGTGTGGAACACGATCTCCCATAGCCAGGTTTTCCATTTCAAGTGAGTGAGTCCATTAGGTGTGTAGCAAGCAGGAGTAAAGGAAGAAAATGGCCAACTGCAGGTAGACGGTTGGGGTAGGGAGCAACCCTTCCTCCAGAGCCAGCTTAAACAGAACATTAGAGTTTACTAATATAATGTATCTTATACGAACTGGCATCTGAAATGTTTCCATCAAACTCTGCTGTTATTACTAGAAGGCCCTAGTGAACTTCAGGCCGAGCCTTTTGTTATATCCAACAAAGAGACAGAAGCCTAGGCTCCTGCTTCCAGGCTGTCAGTGGAGCAGTGTCTCTAGGCCTGGCTAGGCTCTGGTCCTCCGCTGGTCTCCAGAGGACATGAGCTCATTGCTCAGCTAGACCTTTCTTTTTGCAGGGTGGCTTTGAGTACAAGCGCGCCATCGTGGACTGCATCATCAGCATCATTGAGGAGAACGCAGAGAGCAAGGAGACAGGGCTGTCACACCTGTGCGAGTTCATCGAGGACTGTGAGTTCACGGTGCTGGCCACCCGCATCCTGCACTTGCTGGGCCAGGAGGGGCCCAAGACCAACAACCCCTCCAAGTACATTCGCTTCATCTACAACCGTGTGGTCTTGGAGCATGAAGAGGTTCGGGCAGGTAGGTCTGAGCTGGGGTGATCCTGGGCTCTTAGTTTCTTTTTCCCTGCAAAGGGAATTTGCCAGCAAAGGGACCTAAGCCCCCAGGGGAACCAGCACACTGGGCACATGGCCTCATTAGCTGTTTTTACATTGTCAAGAAGACTTTAGATAAAATCTGGATAAAAGATTTTCTACATTTAAAATTTTTTCACTGTATATTCCTGTTTAGCATTGTGTTTTTGTTTTTGTTTGTTTAATTTTTTGAGACAAGAGATTGTGTAGCCTTGGCTGTTCTGGACTCACTTTGTAGACAGGCTGGCCTCAAACTCAAGAGCTCAGCCTGCCTCTACCTCTCGAGTGCTGGGATCAAAGGTGTGCACCACCACACCAGTCTATCTTGTTTTTAATTCATCCTATTTTCCATATTTTTACTTCTATGCCCCCCATAGGCAAATTTTCTTCTTTTGGCAGTTAATCATTGACCGATAGTTTATTGTCTCATGTTATTTTCTCTCTCAGGCTTAGATACAAATAAAGCTGTTCAGAAGTAAATAGCCTGACGTGTTAATCATTTGAAAGTAGCCCCTAGCTCCAGAATAGGAGCCACTAATCTGCTCACCCCTTTCTCTAGTAACTGGAAGAGGAAGTTGAGGCCTGGGTAGCACCAGGATCCACTTGGATTGCACAAGAGCTGTTCTGTGATTCGCCCTCTAGCTCTTCTGCATGAATTCCCACTCTGAGCACTATTAGGCACCCCTAGCACTCTGGCAGGTGGGCCTGAGGGGCTGTTGGTGAATCATATTTTCCTTGGAACTAGGTGCAGTGAGTGCCCTGGCCAAGTTTGGAGCCCAGAACGAAGAGATGTTACCTAGTATCTTGGTGTTGCTGAAAAGGTGAGTCTTGGCTCAGAAGCTACAGGGCAAAACAGTGTTCCCTTAGGCCCACTTCACCTTTTTTGCCATTAAAAAAATAATAATAATAATTCATTTGCTTGTTTGTTTATTGAGGCAGGATTTCTCTATAGCCTTGGCTATCCTAGAACTTGCTATATAGACCATGATGGCCTTGAACTGACAGAGGTCCACCTGCCTCTGCCTCCCAATCACTGGAATTAAAGGTGTACGCCATCATGCTCAGCAAAGGTGTAATTATTTTTATCTTATTTGTGTGGGTGTTTGCTTGTATATTTGTGCACTGTATGTGTGGTGCCTCATACCTGCCAGTACCGAGTACCTAGTCCAGAAGAGGGTGTAAGTGTGTCTCCTGTGGGCTCAGGGGTCCCTCTGTGTATTTTGTCTGGTGGTGCTGTGTGAAATGTTTACTAGGGAGGTGTACCACTGAGAGGCATCAGCCCCTTGTGTTTTCTACTGGCATGTAAGAGCTTCACCCTTGGCTTTCAGCTTTAAGAGCTCTGCATTGCCCTGCTGTCCACATACAGCCTTGCAGGGTCTCTGACACCCTTGCTGGGCTCAGTCCGGAACACCTTGTTTCCCGGCTGCAGGTGTGTGATGGATGATGACAATGAAGTGAGAGACAGAGCCACCTTTTATCTGAACGTCCTGGAGCAAAAGCAGAAGGCTCTCAATGCAGGTTATATCCTAAATGGTAAGTCTTCTCTGGGCCAGGACATCCAAGACCGCACATGCTTCCCTGGACTTGTGTGGCAATCTCTTGGATTGATAGAACCTCAGAAGACCCAGAGTCACGTGGCTTGGAACCTGTCGCTGGAAATGGCGAAATAAGTTAAAGTATTCTCTGTGTGTATTACTCTGGCTTGAACCCAGGGCCTTGCACATGTTTGCTCAGTTACCAACACTGTGCCATGTCCTCAGTCTAAAACTTTTGTTGTTGTTTTGAGATAGGGTCTCATTACATAGCTTAGCCTGGCCTGGAATTTATGATAATCCTCTTGGCTCAAAGTCCAGAGTGCAAAACACTCAGTAATAAAAACTTTTAGGCCTGGTGTGATGGCTTATGCCTTCATCCTAAACCTTAGGAGGCTGAGGCTGGAGGATGGTGAATTCCAAATCAGCTTAGGCTACATAGCAAAATGACACGTCAAACAAATAAAACAATAAATAAAATGGAAACTTGTATTGTCATAGTAACTTTTAAAGTCACTTTACCTACCCACCGACCCTGTGGAAAGGAAGATGAGGATGAGGAATAAAGCTCAGAGGTTCTATAATTTTCTCAGCATCAACACATCTCGTGTTCATAGCAGGGGACCCAGACCGCTCTCCTCCCTAGACACACACGCCATGCCTGTTTGTCGTGCCAACCAGGCAGAATGACCTCTCTACCGGCTTTAGGTCTGACTGTGTCAATCCCTGGTCTGGAGAGAGCCCTGCAGCAGTACACACTGGAACCCTCCGAAAAGCCATTTGACCTCAAGTCTGTGCCTCTGGCCACTACCCCTATGGCAGAACAGAGACCAGGTGAGGCCCTGTTTGTCCCCAAGGCCCATGTGTTTCCCTTGGCTATAGGGTGGACAAGAATGGGTGGGTGTGCTGAAAAGAAGGAGTAGTAGCCCTTGCCACCTCTTGGAGTGGGGACAGCCATGCTGACAGGATTGCTCCTTTCCTTGCATGCTTCTCTGTCAGGAGAGTTGGCATTTATAACATCCAAATAAAAGCATGGGGTCAGCAGCACCTGCTGCCTGTGAGTAGAGCTGTGGGTTACCAGGTATGCTTGCTCTTACAGAAAGCACCGCCACTGCAACAGTCAAACAGCCGGAGAAAGTGGCAGCCACTCGGCAGGAGATTTTCCAGGGTGAGTAATGGTCAGAATGGCCAGTAGTTATGTGACTTCAAAGTCAGCCAGCTGCTTATCAACGTGCCTCAAAGGCAGAGTATGTAGTTGTGTGTCTTTTTTTATTTTTTGATTTATCAAGACAGGCTTGATAGCCTTGGCTGTTGTGGGCTCACTTTGTAGCCCAGCATGACCTCGAACTCATAGATATCCATCTTCCTCTGCCTCCCCAAATGTTGGAATTGCAGGTGCACGCTCTCTGCTTGCATGATTGACACCTGCATTTCAGCGACGCACCAAGAATTTTTTAAGAGAGCAAGAACTCTGTTGGTTCTCCTGAGCCCTGGGTGGTTGAGAGTGCCAGGGCTTTTCTTGCCTTTTTGATTCTCTGAGTGCTCAGGGCCTCGGTTCCAGAATGTCTGAAGGAGTGTAGCTAGATTTCAGAGACACTGGTGCTGTGCTTTTGATTTGTTTATGTGTTCAGTCCATGTTACCTTATAAGGTTTGTCTGCTATTAAAACACTATTTTTGAAACAGACAATAGTGTCAAGATGAACTCAACTCATCTCCAAACCTCTTGTTCCTTGTTGCTGCTGTAATAGTTCCTCAAGCCTTGTGACTAACTTTACTGACCAGAGAGTTGGTAGCTATAACAGTGTGCACCTCACCCTTACAGGCTTTTTCTAATCTCCACCTTCTTGTAAGAATCCTTGCTAAGGGCTGGAGAGATGGCTCAGCAGTTAAGTGCACATGCTGCTCTTGCAGATGACCCAAATCAGCTCCTATCACTGGTGTCAGGTGTCTAACAGCTATCCCTCCAGTCTTGAGAGAAACTAAAGGTGAGGGTCCTCAGATGGATTAGGTCTAGGACATTGGGGTTTCTACTTAGTGCTTCAGAGAACTTGATAAAGACAGAAAGGGTCTTCCTAGAGAATCATACACTTGAACCAGAGCTGAGAGATATGCAAATGTGCTGAGGAAGAGTGAGCAGCCGGTTGCACATGCACATGTCTCTCTCAGGGAGGCTATGGAGCCAGGGGTGGTAATTAGAAACCAGCACAAATTGGTGTGGAGATACAGAAACCAAGTGAATATGGCCTGTGGATTTCAGAGCAGTTAGCAGCGGTGCCTGAGTTCCAGGGGCTCGGGCCCCTCTTCAAGTCCTCACCTGAGCCAGTGGCCCTCACTGAATCAGAAACTGAGTATGTCGTTCGTTGCACCAAACACACCTTCTCTGACCACTTGGTGTTCCAGGTAAGCAGGGCAGCCCGAGACCAGGTGGTGAGTATTTACAGGCTAAAGAGGTCCTGGGCAAAGAGTGATGAGACACACCATCGGGTTGTGCCCAACCAACTCTATGGCAAGCCCTGCAGGACCCGTCAGACCTGTGAATGTTCAACCATGCAGACAGCTTGGGAGTGGGGGTGTATCTTGGTTCATCCCATCTATCAGCATCGGAACCCCACTCTGCCTTATCCAGTTTGACTGCACGAACACCCTCAATGACCAGACGCTGGAGAAGGTCACAGTGCAGATGGAGCCCACGGAGGCATATGAAGTGCTCGCCTATGTGCCTGCCAGAAGCTTGCCCTACAACCAGCCTGGGGCCTGCTACACACTAGTGGCTCTGCCCAAGGAAGACCCCACAGCTGGTGAGCTCTCTGTAGTTAGCACTCGGGCCTCACGGGAGTTTGTGCATCAAGAATGGCACAGAAACTCCTTGACTCAGGTATAAGAATTGCTCAGGCCCAACTTCTTTTTGTATGTTATCTTATTTCATTCTCACAGCAACTCTAAGGGTAAGTGCCTGTTCTTGTTTGTAGATGAGGAAACTGAGGCTCAGGTTAGGTGGGTTGTATTAAGTTTAGGACCAAGGCCTATTTGGTCTTCAGACAAGTTAGTACTCTTTCACTATAGCACAGTGTCCCTGATAAGACAGACACAAACATGCAGACATCTCAGATTCACTTCTCCAGTGATAGCCACCATGGACAGCAGCCTGCAGCTGTGGCACAGTCTCAGCCACAATGCATTGTCTCTGTTTATTTGGCCTTTTCTTTGGACCTGTGACTTGACAGTCCTGTCCTGTGAGGTGGTGCCTTTGCCCAGCATGGTGGGGTTGATGGCTATTACTAATGCTGCCTGAAGGGCAGCTTGTGGCCAACTGACCTTGAAGGAACTTGTCTTCATCCAGCGCTTCTTCTCCACAGTGGCGTGCACATTCAGCTGTGTCATGAAGTTCACCGTCAAGGACTGTGACCCCAACACTGGAGAGATTGATGAAGAAGGCTATGAGGATGAATACGTGGTAAGAGGATGGTGTCAGGGACTGAAGAGACGGTTCAGCAGTTAAGAGCACTGGTGCTCTTCAGAGGACTCAGGTTCAGTTCCTAGCACCCACATAGTAAAGAACAGGTGTCTGTAACCTCAGTTCCAGGGAATCAGATGCCCTCTTCTGGCCTCTGCAAGCACTACGTGATTGTGGTGCACAGACATATATACCTGTGTACAAATTTTTTCAAGTGCATTTCTGATTTCTTTCTTAGGATAAATTCCTAACTGGCTCAAAAGGCAAGATTTTAAGACTTTAATTGCTCTTGTCAAATTACTTTATAGAGTAGGACTTTCTGGACCCACCAGCTGGACATGAAGACTTACTGATATTTATAATAGTTTAGATAGGATAGCTGGGCAGATTCTGAACTAGTCTAACCTGACTAATTCTGGTCTGCTTCCTGCCATGTGACCCTTTACCTCTCTCTCACTCAGTCTGGGCACCTGTTCCTTTCCCATGTCATACTGTGAGTCTCCCACATCTTACTCTTCTCACAGAGACCCTTTCCCTGCCAGGAAGTCCCGCCTTTCTTCTCTTGCCTAGACTCTTTCTTTAGCCATTCAAAAGGTGAGAGAGTAAGAGTGTTTACAAAACATGAGGCAGGTGATGAGCCATAAGAATAACAGTATCAAAGTCCAGACAGTATTCAGCTGTCGGTTTAGCAATCTACAATTTCATATACAAAGACAACCTTCACACGGTGCACAAAAAGATTACTCCAATATTTTTTTAGGTAAACTGGGCCTCTTTGCTCTCTGCTAGGCCAGAGTTCTTCAGTTACTAGACTGCATCTGATGTTCACCCTTGTGTAGCATAAGGACCTCAGTAGAGAATGGCCATTCCTGAGCCAAAATGACTGCAGCAGGAATCATTTTAAGACTTCCCTCCTCTGGGGAGCTGTAGCTGAGCCACAACTGTAGTTGTGGCTGTGTGCACCCTAAACATCCTGCAGGTGTTAGGACAGAGTTCTGGGAAGATCTGTTGGAAGAATGAACAAAGGAGCCTTCATGTGGACACAGCCTGTCAAAGCTGGCTGAATGGATGTATTAAATGTCAGGTTCACAGCTGAGATGACAGTAGGGTTCAGCCTGTGTTGAGTCTAGAAGACACAGCTAACGTGCTGCCAGTGGCACTTTGATTGAGAACTTGGGGTGGGGCCTGACATAACTGGTGTCCTGAAGCCCACCATGTTCCCACACTGGCGGGAAGGGATAAATAGCTGAGTTCAGAGTAGATTTCTAGAAATGTGGAACAACAGGTGTCTTCCTGAAGTCTAACTCTGTTCTTCGTTTCTCCAGCTGGAGGATCTAGAGGTTACCGTGTCTGATCACATCCAGAAAGTCATGAAAGTGAACTTTGAAGCAGCCTGGGATGAGGTCGGGGATGAGTTTGAGAAGGAGGAAACATTCACCCTCTCTACTATCAAGACACTTGAAGGTAAAATGCCGCTGACCCTATCTCTGGTCTGGCTGCTTTTCGGGACCCTTATATACTATAGCTGAACAGTGTGCCTTCCCCTTTCCCACCAGAATCCAGGGCCATCTCTAGAGCACATCACTGAGCGGTAGTGGCATACCTGGCTTGGGGCTGGGCTTGTGTCTCAGTGGAAAAGTGCATACTTAGTATGCGTGAGGCCCAGGATTTGACCAGCACCCAACTAAATAAACACACACAATACTCATACACCATGACTTGATATAGCTGGGCTTTCTCCCTACAGAGGCTGTGGGCAATATTGTGAAGTTCTTGGGAATGCATCCTTGTGAAAGGTCAGACAAAGTGCCAGAGAACAAGAACACTCACACGCTGCTGCTAGCTGGTAAGAACCATCTCCTGTGGCCTGAGTAGCTTCACAGGTGGGAATGCCCTGGGTTTTGTCTGCTGCCCTCCAACTTCCTGCACAAACACACCTGTGTGAGCCTGTAGTCCTGGCAGGCCCTTGGTCTTTATCCTCTGAGACTAGCTGCGAAGGGTGTGGCATGATGGCTTGGCATTTCTTCATGGCTGCTGGTCTGTTAAAGCAGCAGGTCCTTAATTCAATGTTGGGGATCCATCTCTCCAGCCCCCTGAAGTGGTTTTAATGTTTTTGCATTTTGAATGAAGGTAAGTATCTTCCATTCATATTTCTTTTTCTGTGACTTGTCTGATATTCCTTTGTCTAGTTATCAACTTTATTGGTTATTTTTTGTTTTTGTTTTCTTACTAAGAAGAATGAGGATAGGGCCTGGCCTGGTAGCTCACCCTGTAATTTCAGCATTTGAGAGGCAGAGACAGGAACTTTTGTGTAAGTTTAAGGCCAAGGGTTACATTTTGAGACTCAGTCTCCATAAAAACCTAAGACAAACAAAACAAAAAAATATCTCCGTGGTTTAAGCACTGGCTGTTCTTCCAAAGGAGCCAGGTTCAATTCCTAGCATCCACATGAGAGTTCACAACTGTTTAAGTCTAGTTCCAGGGCAACTGACACCCTCACACAGACAGACATACACGCAAAACACCAGTGTGCATAAAGTAAAAATAAATTTTAAAAATGGCCATCTACATTTCATCTTGGAAAATTTCAAATTTAGAAAAAAAGAAAATAGCGCATATAACGAACATTAACTGCTTTTCTTCCCACTGTGGGAGCACCTGTGCCCACTCTCCTCCCTAGAGTATTTTCATGCAAATTATTTTGTAATCCATATGTAAATACTTGTTATCCTGTGTTTAACTCAAAAAGGGTCATAGCTTGTATTGCTCAAGTCAGTTGTGAAAATGGAGCTGGGAAGGGAACTCAGTGATTGAGGCTAGGCTAGGCAGATTCCTGAAGCAGAACCTGACTGTATAGCCCAAGATTCCTTGAACTTTTAAGTAATCCTCTTGCATCAGCCTTCAAATAGCTACCAATCCTTGCTTTTTTTCCCTCTCCTGCTGATAATCAGTTCTGGGGTCTCTTGCCTGCTAGGTAAGGAAGTGTTCTACCATTGAGACAAAACAAACCTTGGGTGTTTGGGGGGGGGGTGATGGCTGGTTATTTTTGGTGGAGGTTGGGGTGTGTTTACAAACAGGTTGGGATGGTGTTCTTGCTTCAGCGAGTGCTCACAGCTCACCACCACCATCCCTCTGGCCTTGATGAGGAAACTAAGTCCCCTGGGTCTGTCATACACCTGCTTTGTGGTTTTTACTTATTAGGGTTCTCCTCCTCAGCACTCTCAGATTCAGCGGCCATGTGTGAGCCTCTAAGGGAGCTCACGCCTTACATACCCAAGCTACCCGAGTGTCACCTGAGCCTGGCAGGAGCCAGACACAGTTACTGCAGCCCTTTGTCCTTAAGGGTTCTGGAGCTCAGAGAAGCAGTGAGACTTGCCCAGGCCTCCCAGCTGTGCCTCAGCATGGGGGCCGCTTGAGCAGCTGGCACATGTGCCTCCACAGCCCTTCAGCCTCACAGAGCTCTGCTTTCTCTTCCTCCAGGTGTGTTCCGAGGTGGTCATGACATCCTTGTGCGCTCCCGGCTTCTGCTTTTGGACACAGTGACAATGCAGGTGACAGCCAGAAGCTCAGAGGAGCTGCCAGTAGATATCATCTTGGCATCTGTGGGTTAAAGGTCTGGCCTGAGCTCTGTTCCTACCTTTTCCAACACTACATCAAAGTCGCTTCTTCCCAGTGAAGCCAGTGGAAACCCTTCCCCACATCTCTATCCAGAAACAATCAAGAATCAATACAGATTTTTTTTTAATTGCATCCTATCATTCAGGAATGCTAGGGTAGATTTCGTCACCCTGTCTGCAAGGAGACATCATAAGTGAATAAAATGTTCAGACTTCTCGGATATTTATCCCCAAGGAAACTGACTCATTCCTGTAATAAGTCAGCATGTAGTTCTTAAATAACTGCTTCTTCTGCAGGCTCGTGCTCAGGGCCTCCACCCTTCCTTGAAGCCTCCCCTCACCAAGAGGAGCATGCGCTTATCCCTTTGGGACTGTGTCGGTGCCAAGCTTAGGATGTGTTAAAGGCTAGCTGAGTGACAACAGCCAGCAGGTCTGACAAGCCATTCATCGTCAGGCATTTATAGATAGATGGTTCTCCAAAGGACTGAGGTCCTTCGCCTGGGTGTTACCCGATTATCCCTGGCTTCGAGGGTGTCCAGAGGTTCTGCTCTGGGCCAGTCTGTGAGAACATAGACTGACTTTCTCTTTGGCTGGAGAGTAAGAAATCCTACAGTATGCCTCAAGGGTCTTGGGCTTAAACTCAAATCAGGTGGTTTTAAATTGTTGCAACCACCAGTAGAACTTGTTTCTAAGAAGTGGGCCTCTGTGGGGCTACTGAGATGGCTCAGCAGGTAAAGGCCCTTGCCGAGACTACCTACGTGGTAGGAGAGAACCGTTTCCCACAAGTTGTTCCCTGGCCTCATGCACACCGTGCATGCAAGCGCACATACACACACACGTGCACAATAGAACATAAGCCTGCACCTTTAGGCCAGCCCATACCCTCAAGAGACCAGCCACACTTGAGCATAGTTATGAAGCTGTCTTTGCTATGGCCTCACAGTAGTAGTCCATGATTTATGGTCCTGGCTCCTCCATGTGCTTGGTCATGCCTGCTGTGTTGAACTAAATCATGCGATGTGAAATTTCCTGTCACCCCTAAAAGGTTATAAAGAGCCAAGGTTCTCGTTTGTTTGGAGGGATTTGCTCAGGAAGGTGGCCTGAAGGCTGCTCCGTACAGACATTCCTCTGACCCCCACCGGCAACCCCCTTCTGGGGACTCAGGAGCTGCTCCTCTGGCCTGGCATCTCTTCCCTCCTTCCTTCCAGTCCTTAATAAAGGGCCTTTCCAGGCTTTAAAGGAAAGCCTAGCCTTCCTTTTAAGGCCCGGCTTGCTTAGACCTCCACCATTGTGTTCTTTCTGCCTAATACCCTCCCCTCTACCCCAAGGCCTGATCATAGCCTGGAGGCCATTCCATTCTAATAAACCTCTGGAAAGAGAATAGTGTCAGCCTCCTTTTGTGAAGACCTTTGCTGTTCTTGTATTTAACGGTGTACACACAAAACAAATGTTAAAAAGGAAACAGGGCGGGGCTTCCTGACATTTAAAGGGTTCTGTGTGGAGAGCTTCAAAGTTTCATTCTGGCTTCAGAGTCTGGCCTGGGAAGGAGGAAGGTGGGATCTCCCGGAGTGCGTGTCTCAGGAGTGTGTTGTTCGGCGTTACAGCCTCGCACCTAAAGCCTTCGGTGGCTTCCGCTTCCGCTCACCGCCTAGCCACACCCCCACCTGTGGGGAGGAAACCCCGATGGCGCCGACGTCACGTCGGGGGCGGGGGGGAGGGGCGGGATTGCCAAAGGGGCGGGACGGGTGTCCCTGCGGAGGCCGCGGGAAGCAGGGAAGACGGGACTTAGAGCCGCTGGCGGTGAGGAGGGGCGGTCGCGTGGGGACGGCCCGCCGGCGGGAAGGGGTGTGGAGAAGAGGGCCTCGCGAGCGGCCGGGCGGGCGGAGGACGGGGCCGGGCGGAGGACAGGGCCGGGCTGAGGGGGCGGGCGGCCGGGCG